ATAATTTCTTAATAATTCATTTTATTTATAAAGTGCCTATGCATTTCTTTGGAAAAAGGCAGTTGATATGATTATACAAAAGGTAGAAGAAAAGCAGTTCACCCAGAAGGGTAGGTAAATTCCTAGACATAATATCAATATATAGTATTTATAAATTATATACCATATGGCAGTTGTAGAGAAGAATGTGAGTTTGGTTAATGCAGATGATGGGGACAAGTTTCTATAAAAATGGGACAATCCTCAAGTGATGGAGAACACTGTAAGAGCATAATACCATTTTAAATGAAATCCTAAAGGTTATAGACAGACCGCCCATGGAATGAGGAAGGAGTGGAAGAAGAATGTGCGGTAAGAAAACAGAAACGTGACTGCGGCATTCATTATACACTTTAAGGGCAATCGGGGCTTGTGAAAAATGAAAGAGTGGGTTGCGGTAATTCATACTGTCAATAAGGGCTGCTTGAATAAGAGCTTAGATCATGTATTATATTACAAAAGGAGAAATGCAAGGTGTATTTTTAATATGAAAGCAGCAGGATTTGGGATTGATTGGAAATGAGGAGTGAAAGTAAGGTCATAGTGAAAAATGACTTAAAGACAGCAAGCTGGCTTGGAAGGATATGATTAATGGCGGCACAATTCATCTGAAAGGAGATTGATCAGGGAGGGTTTATCAGTGTGTTTTTATTACCTTTTGTATTATACAACCGTGTTACAGAGCTGCTGGCCGTCTCATGTGTGCCTTCTCAGGGGTTAATAAGTGTACAGGAATTATTACTTTTCCTTGATGCTGGTAGATGAGCTTACACTTTTTTTTTTCTGGTAACAATAAAGCTCATCACTATGTCTCAGTAACAATAGCACACATATTCAAAACATACAGTGACATGGCATATAAGAAAATCGCACAATTTGTAAATTAAAGTAGGCAGGAGTATCAGGCTAGTCAGACATGTCTAACTGGTAGGTAACGTATAAACTAAACATGGTCATCCTAAATAGTTATGCCAAAGATAGGTCACAGATGTAGCTCAGAGATGTACCAGTCAGACAAGTGGGTGTCAGGTAAATATGAAAAGTATTAAACATGCTAGTTATCAGCAAAGATATTGACGTATAACAAGAAATAACATGATTTTTGTAAATCATAGATTAAGAATAGCATAGCATGCAGAAACAGGTTAAGGAAAATAAGAAAAGTGTGTTCCAAAACACATGTGTAGCAGGTAGGTGAGTCAGGGCTGCGGTGACTTTCCTGAACCATTGGAGAACAGGCAAGCTGAGGTCCAGGAAGCAAGCTTGTGCTGGCTATACCGTGTGAGGGTAAGGCATCATTCTGCAGGCTGAGGGGGATCTCTTGAGGCAATGTCCCCAGGAGACAGATGGGCCCACTCAAAGAAGAGAAATTGAGAGCTGTCCCATGCTGGTGCAATGGTTATATCTCCATTTAGGTGCCAGTTGTCTGGGATACAGGTGGCTTGGGCCTCCCTCCACATCTGCGGTGTCGATAAATCCTCCAAATTCTCTGCGTCTGGATCTTCCACAATCTCACCGCGCTCTGTAGCCACCATTCAGTTGGCCCTTTACAGGAAGCCTCTTTCTGACCTTGAGGGGCTCCTGGTAGTGAAGACAGGGGGTAAGGTAAGTCTTAGATGCTCACAGTCAGATTACTTAATGCGGCTTTTAAGCTCTGACCAAAAGTCCCAAAATATCCTGTCTAAACCCTCCAGAACAAGCGGCAATGTATTGCAGAAATAGGATGGGCACATGACAAGCGCCATTTTGCTCTTGATAGGACAGCCTCAGCTATGTGCTCTACAGGTATCCACCGCAGCACATGAAACTGTGCCAGAATAACCCTCACCAGCAGGGGCGTTAGTTCGGGGGTGACTCTTGTTGCGGCTCCTCAGACAGCAGGCACCAGGATCGGTGATATTGCCTTCACCAGCTGCCTTCAGGCTGCTTTTAGACTACTTTATGGCCCCACACCTGACCCACCGATCTCGACAGGGTCGATGGTCAGACTTGCTCTATCAGAACCACCACCAGTATTCCTCTCGTTTTGCCAGTTTTGGGACATGGGTTTCATGAATAAAATCTAATTTTTTAGATATGGTCTCGGAGCTCCCCAGTTGTGCGTCCTCACAGCTTGGAAGTGAGGCTCCACCCTGATGAGTTTACACTTTAAAACCATTACAGTGGTACTACAAACCTCATTTATATTTGCATATTGATTTGATATTCTTTGCAAGTAACATTTAAAAAAAAAATGTTTTATATCTTCAGGCTAATGAATAATAGCCAATGCTGATGGGCAAGAGTAGTTGGGCATTATTTTTGTGTGCTTTTATTTGGCTTTGTACACAACCAGGTTACAGTGCTGCAGGCCATTCCATGTGTGTCATATTAAGGGTTAATAAGTTTGTAAGAATAACTTTTCCAGTCTTACCAGAAATTTTGACTTTTAGCTGGTATCATCAAAGTGAATTGTTAGAGTAAGATTCCTACAAGTTTGAGAAAGAACAAGTGTAACATTTTGGCAAGTGATTTGTTTATATATTTTTAATATATATACAGTATCTCCCAAAAGTAAGTACACCCCTCACATTTTTGTAAATATTTTATTATATCTTTTCATGTGACAACACTGAAGAAATGACACTCCGCTACAATGTAAAGTTGTAAGTGTACAGCCTGTATAACAGTGTAAATGTGCTGTCACCTCAAAATAACTCAACACACAGCCGTTAAAGGACCACTATAGGCACCCAGACCACTTCAGCTGAATGAAGCGGTCTGGGTGCCAGGTCCAGCTAGGTTTAACCCTTTTTTCTATAAACATAGCAGTTTCAGAGAAACTGCTATGTTTATAAATGGGTTAATCCAGCCTCTAGTGGCTGTCTCATTGACAGCCACTAGAGGGCTTCCGCGCTTCTCACTGTGATTTTCACAGTGAGAAGATGCCAGCGTCCATAGGAAAGCATTGTGAGAGCTCCCCGCCCGGTGCTGGAGAAAGAGGTAACTTCCTCTCCATCCAGCCCGGCAGGAGGGGGACCCTGAGGGTGGGGGCACCCTCAGGGCACTATAGTGCCAGGAAAACGAGTATGTTTTTCTGGCACTATAGTGGTCCTTTAATGTCTAAACCATTGGCAACAAAAGTGAGTACACCCCTAAGTGGAAATGTCCAAATTGGGCCCACAGTGTCCATATTTTGTGTGGCCACCATTATTTCCCAGCACTGCCTTAACCCTCATGGACATGGAATTCACTAGAGCTTCACAGGTTGCCACTGGAGTCCTCTTCCACTCCTTCATGATGACATCACGGAGTTGGTGGATGTTAGAGACCTTGCCCACAGTGCTGCAGCTTAGTTTCAGGGTCTTGGCCATGAGGTGCCATGTTAAACTTCCAGTGACCAGTATGAGAGAGAGTGAGAGCGATAATACCAAATTTAACACACCTGCTCTTGCCCATTCACACCTGAGACCTTGTAACACTAACGAGCCACATGACATTTCTTTCCTCTTTCCCATGCAGCTCATGTAGTACCTCAAACTTGTTCTTGATGCTGATGATCCTTAGGCAGCTGACATCATACTTCACTCCACACTGTGTTGTTTTCATCCATTTCTTCTTTAACTTCAGCTGCATGCTGGCTACTACATTTGCTCCTCTTCTAACTCTAATGTCAGGGATCTTCTAAACTTCTTGCTAATGCAGATGTGGTCAATCTGGTTCTCTGTCACACTATCCGGTGATACCCAGGTGTTTTTGTGGATCTGCTTGTGAGGAAAGATGCTACCTCCAATGACCAGGTTGTTGAGCGCACACAATTCCACAAATATCTCCCCATTATCGTTCATCACTCCCAGCCAGTGTATCCCCATGACTTGTTTATATCCTGTGTTGTCGGGTCCAATCTTGGCATTGAAGTATCCCATAAGGATGACAATGTCTCTGGTTTGGAATGTCTCTACGATTTTCTGCAGTCTACTGTAAAACTCGTCCTTGTGTTCTTCATCGAAATCATTGGTTGGAGCGTAACTCTGGATGACGTTGAGCTTAACCTTTTTCTGCTTGGTTCTCAACGATGCTGTGATGATTTTGGGGCCATGCGCTTCCCATCCAATCAGTGCCCTTTGTGCTTGCTTGGACAACATAAAGCCTACTCCCTGCGTGTGGGGTGTGTCACTCTCTTCCTGCCTGGAGTACAGCAACAGCTCTCCTGTTGATAACTTCACTGGCCACTCCTGAGATGGCTGTTAGAGATCCTTCCTGGGTCATGGCTGCCTAAAATGCATCCAAACATTCAGTATCTTCACCTTCTGCATGCAGACACTGAACTTTCCTCAAAGAGATTCATTGATTCAATTCATCTCTATGAGGAGATGCTGATTGGCCAGGGGTGTGTTTGAATCATGCTGGCCCTGCCCCTGAACTGCCTCTTTTTCTCAGTCTGAGCCAATCCTATGGGGAAGCACTGTGATTGGATCAGGCTACCACTTCTTTTGATGTCAGGAGGCAGTGGGCAGGTCTAAAGGAAACCGTGACAATGCAAGCAGCTCCAGACTTGAAAACAAGTACGATTTCTATATTTAGGGAGGCATGAGGGGACCAGGGTGGCTAGATGGTGGTTTTAACCCTATAGGGTCAGGAATACATATTTGTGTTCCTAACCCTATAGTGCTCCTTTAAGCCAAGTTATCCATTGACATAATTTTTGGTTAATATTAAAAACAAATAGGACATCACCAAACAAAACAAACAAAAAAAAACAAAAAAAACACAAATCTAAGTTCCCTGCGGGGAGGAATATTTATATAAATATTGAAATAATAGTGCATGTCTGTTATTAAGTGTCAAGTATGAATTATGGATACTTTTTAACTTTGTAATGTTATATGTTTCAATTTTCGTTTTTATTTATGAGCGTCTGTAAGATTTATCCTGATTGCTAGTGATGACCCGCAGACGTCACTCGAGTCCACGTACGGTTGGAACGCACACGCTTACATCCATCCGTACGTCAGAACACGTGACGTCACCAAATTTCCCGAAAAGGAGTTTCAGCTGTAACTAAGAGTATCGGATTGGCCCACGGACAAAAGAAGGAGTGGCCATGTGGTTTAAAAAGAGAGCGGGCACCCGGGAGCGATCAGATTGATCCTGCACTGAGGACTGAAACGGACGATACCCCTGAGGAAGTCCGGATCACCGGATGAAACACGTAGGGTTGGGCCCCTGTGGGATACAATTCATTTTAATTATTTTTGTATAATAAAAGCCTTTTTTCAGCTTCTGCCAACTTTAAGAAGCAGTTTTTTCCTTCCTAGGAATTATCACTCTTCAAGATTATTATATGCTTGAATGCTATCTTTAGTGCGTAAGTGTTATTCATTTTAGCGCATTGGATGGTGCTTATAGTCTGCACTTATTGTCGCATATATTTTCTTGTCTTCCACATGCCCTTTTTTGGAGTTTGAAGAAATTCTGATCAACTTATATTTTTGACATGCCTACAATCAATTTATCTATGTGAGTTTAACATTGAACCCAATATTTTATTTGGTTCTGACAATACTACTCTATGAGTTGTCCCATTCTCCCCTTTTTTGTAGATATTTTTCTTTGTCTGTATTTTCTGTGAGGACTGGGAGGAGTCCTTATTATCTGCATTGTGGGAGTTACTTATAGGTAAAATACCCTATATGTTTCAATCACTTGTTGGTGTATAGTTCTTTCATCTTAAAGGGTATATCCTATCTTTTTTGCTATTTTTTACAAAGCCATCCTTGTCTTTGTGTATAATGAATGGAATGATGTTATCTAATCTACCAAAATGGACGAGAATATTTTCACATCTACATTTAATAATGAAATAGGCCTATAGTTTCCTATGATTTCTGGATTTTTATCTTGTTTGGGTATGAGTATGATGTGGGCTTTTAATATTTCCCTCTGGATCTCTCCTGTTGATGTAATTTGGTTAAATGTCATGGGTCTTTCAGGGTTAAGGGGTCAGGAACATTGCAACCAGACCACTTCACTGAGATGAAGTGGTCTGAGTAACTATAGTTCCTTTAAGATGGATAAGAGTAGATGCTGGCCAGTTGAGAATTGTTGCAGATAATGACAGTTAATAGTTATGCTAGGCATTGGGTGATTAGATATATTCAAAGGTGTTAAGGGAATATTTACATTGTAAATGGTGACTAAAGATTACAAATGTTCTTTTAGAGACGGAGTACTGATAACTCACACAGATATATAGAAGTCTAGAGTGTTACAGCATAATGTTACACTGGGTTTTGCATACGTCCCAAGTGTCCCTATTAGGCAAAATACCTCTGTCCCTCTTTTCTGTGTTAATGTCCCTCTTTTGTAAGAGCCATGTGTATTCTTAGTATATCGGAATTTACACAGTAATAATACTCACAGTAATATGTCTATGAACTGCAATATGTGTGTTTAAGATACTCTGTTCTTGTTCTAAATAATATTTTAGTTTCATAAATTGTTATTAGTAAAAATGGTGCTGGTCACACCCATGAGATTAAAGTGTCCTTTTTGTCCATTTGAAATGTTGGGAGGTATGGAAGCCAGAACAATCTTCCGGATTTCAGTTTAGCTGTGGCTGCAAAAAAAAGAAAAAAGAAAAAGAAGCTTGGCAGACAATGGCAAGTAGCAGCCAAATCCAGAAGCAGCTAAAGGTCAGAGCTAAAAATCAAGCACGAAATCTAAATAATGACTTCAAATAGAAAGTACAATCAGGAAAAACTGAATAGAAACTCCTGTCAAAATCCCATTAAAGACTACATCAGGAATTTAAAGAAGGCTTCACCGTGAAAAAAGGGGGGAAACAAGATTATTATTTGTATTATTATGATTATTTTGGAGAATTTGCTGAATTGAGAAGAGGAGGTAGCAAGTAGACATTTCAGAAGAAAATAAAATATGTAAGTGCAGGGCCGCCATCAGGGGGTGACAACCATGACGGTTGTCACGGGCCCGGCGGTCCTGGAGGGCCCGGAGTGCACAGGTAATCCTCTGCATGCCCGGGCCCCCAACCCTTCAATCTGCATATATATATAGTAAGAACCGCTATGTATATATGCCTCTGCGGGCCCAGGATATACTTACCTTCCCCTCCAGCACTCTCGCGAGCCACAGCAGTAAAGCATTGCCGCGGGTTGTCATGACAATGCTCCGCGGCACGCAATGCATGCTGGGCTCGCGTCCTGGCTGCAGGAGGGAGAACATGGAGGGAGTCTGCTGGGCTCCTCCTTGCTCTCCCAACAAGCGGAGCCACCGGACCACCAGGGAATCCAGTGTCCCCCCTCCCTGGCTACAGGTAAGAGGCAGGGAGGGGGGAATACATCTTTTTTTTATTATTATTATAAAAATTCAACATAAAAAATAAATACCTCCCAGCAGCATTTGTCACACAATCCACCACACACATACATCAAACAAACTGCATCCACTACACAACCACACACATCATCCATTACACAACCACACACATCATCCATTACACAACCACACACATCATCCACTACACAACCATACACATCCACACACATCATCTACTACATAAACACACAGAATGCATCCACTACACAACCACACACATCATCCACTACACAACCATACACATCATCCACCACATAAACACACCATAAACCACATAAACACACAAACTGCATCCACTACACACACAGCATCCACTACACACACACACAGCATCCACTACACAAACACACACTCTGCATTCACCATACACACACTACATCCACTACACAGACACACTGTATTCACTATACACACACACTACATCCACTACACAAACACGCAATCTGCATTCACTATTCACATACTACATCCAGTACACAAACACACACTGCATTCACTGTACAAACAATACATCCACTATACACACACACTCTGTCCACTACACAAACATACAATCTGAATCCACTATAAACAGCGTATCCACTTTACTCACGCACTTTGTATCCACTACACACATTCTATAGCCACTATACACACAAACAAATTCAGTACACACACACTTCATCCTTGTGGGTGGACTTAAGATGGGCCCTGTGGGAGGATTTGGGGGCGGGTCATGTGGGCAGACTTGGGGGCAGGCCCCGCGGGGCCCAGATGGTGGGCTGTGTCAGGGACCCCAAAATGTCTGGTGGCAGCCCTGTGTAGGTGAATAAACAGCTTTCAAAAGGCTTAGCACTACACAAGCAAGCATTCCACACACAGGGAGTACATGTCTATATCCTTTCATTGTTTTCTATTCAGTGAATGAGTCTCTTTATGACTTTACCTGAAGTGCACAGTGGAATCCTTTCCAAATAAGGGCTTCAATGGCAACGGAGCATTTGTCTGCCAATATTAATTAGATACCATTCGGTTTGAATACTTTCTGGGGCATGATTTCAGGCAGGTATGCTTTAAATGAAATTTAAAACAAAGGTAGACTGGAGGAAAATTCAATATTCCATCATAAAAAAACTTACTTGTGTTTGTGCATATAGGCATTGTGGCGGTTTGTTAAAAAAGACTGTTTTGTGATATTTTAGTTTTGTTGCCAAAAGAAGAATTAGCACCAACATATTCTGTAGCACTGTACAATGGGTGGACTACATAGGCATTGCTTGAGGGAGTTTTGGGGGCTGAAGCGCGATGTGGGACTCTTTAGACCCAGATCTCTAGAGGTACTGCAGGGATAAAAAGGATATAGTGCTTTAGTTTTAACTTTACATAAGGCAGCTACTTCTCAGAGCAGTCACCGATATAAAAAGAAAGATCACTTGTGTTGTACTCCACAAAGCTACAGCTTACTGTTGAGAGGGTGTGCTGCAGAACCTCCCACCCCATGCTGTTTCCCCCGTTCTAAGATAGCAGGTATGCTTTTCATGGGTAGAGAGGAGAGGACATAGTGACGATACAGACCCCCGGAGCAGTCTTTCACCCAGGGGTATTGTCCAGAAGGGATCGTTGCTGAGAAGTGGGTCAAGTCAGCGACTGTGTCTCCAAATCTCTCCCAGGATGCTGGTCTCAGTAAGGAATCTCCATGAAGCAAAGCTGAAGGGGCAGAAGTCGGTAACTGGTAGCAGCTGGTGGCAGAGCGGGTTGGGAAAGAGATTTCTACCCACTGGAGCGAGAGGCAGGTAGTGTCCCTTCTGCCTTTGACTTCTCAAGATGCTGCTTCAAGTGATCAGCTTGATGCTGACAGATCTGAAGATGCTGCTGCAACCCTTCCTAGGAATGGACACTAAACTTCTTCTAGGTTCCTTCTTCCAGGCAGGTATCGACCCTCTCTGTCTGCGCTCCTTCTTACAGGCAGGTATCGACCCCTGTGTTGGTGCTGCCTCCAAATACTGCCTTTACAAAGGCACTTGCGGCTCAGACTTAGCCCTGTACCAAGGAACAGTAAAAGCAGGTGTGAAATCTGAAAAAAAAAACAGACGGGACACCCAATTGCCAACAGAACTGCCACCTGCTTGTTACAGAGTATCAGCAGGACAGAAGATTGAACAAGACATTTCACAAATAAGCATTACAATAATGCACACCTTGCACCTATAATGGACACAGGGTGCCATACGTAAGAGACAGCTGAGGAACCACATGAGGTGTCAGACATGAAAAAACCCACAGTTCCATATCTCCCAACAGCAAATCCAGTTCCACTTAATCCCAGCCTGAGGTGGAACCATCCTGGTGATAACGACAGCCAACAGTTAATAAAATAGTGGCCAGGAGGTGGGTAAAATTCAAATGATCTCAGGTTTGGCAACTACCATCACAGACATAATATAGAGGCAGGGATATGTCATGTAAAATCCCCAACTTTCTGTTAAATTTTACTTTGGTCTCATGTCTAAGGTATTTCTAGAATCTAATAATGTGCCTGGTGGACTAACTAACAAGTAGTTGAAACAAGATATGTTGGATGCATGGGAAAAGAGTTTGGTGAGGGCTCTGCACACACAAACTTGCAGAATGGTTTCCATTGTCGCTTCCTGATTTATTGAATATGACACAATTCCCGATATTAACTTTACTCTATCAAATATTCAGACTCTACTTTTCACAGTCCCTGCTTCAAGAGTTGATTTTAAAACAAAACATGTGGTGAATTACTTATGAACTTACAAAGGTCTAGACTAACCACATTGAGCAATATCTCCATTTCAAGT